CATATATATTTGTATAAATTTTTATACTGTGGGTGCATGTATCATGTTTGTGTGTTACATAATGTGTTTCTTATATAATTTTGAAAAAAATATCATAGATAGATTAAGGGAAATGTCTATATTAACGTAATATGCGACAATGCGCCCAAGTGATTATTATTATTACTATTATTATTATTATTATTATTATTATTATTATTATTATTATTATTATTATTATTATTATTATTGCATCAAGAGTAGAGAGACTCTTAGTGATTTTAATGTGTACCTACATGCCAGCACAGTGTGTAAGTTTATTTAGGTACAGGTGTACACAAGTTTAATTATCAAGTACAATACATATAAAATATACAATAACTTTAAAACACTTGAAATTTGGGAAAGTTTCCAGACATAATAAGGAGATGTGCTCAGGGAGAATGTAAACAAACTTGGTGGGCCGCTGTGACCGTATTAGAAAGACAGGTGGGGGGAGCCGTATAGCAAGTTTTGGTCATAATTTGAAATGTCCGTATTAGCGGAATGCCGTAAAGCGAAACGCCGTAAAGCGGGGCCCTGCTGTACATGTCGGCCATCACTAATCCAGGATCATTGGGACCTGCCTCCAAGTTTGGCATGATTGACCTGAGATGCCTGGGTCTTAACACTTGGTGTTTGCAGTATTAAAAAAGTCTGGGACCAGTTAGTACTTTGTGGGAGCACCAGTTCAATTGAGCCCCAGCTAGAGCAGACAGCATGGCAAACACCAGGGATTCACTGATGTCATGTATTAACACTCCCCTTTTAATGGGAAAGTGATGTTGACCCTGAGTTTAGGGCCTGTGAGATGGATGTCGTCACAAGTGGTCGAGGAAATGTCAAAAACCTCGGTAATAACCCATGTGCAACATTTGTGCAACATCCTTTAAATTCTGATACCACTGGTAATGTCATCCTGCGACAATCTCCTATAACCTATGCCCTAAGTAAAGGGAAAATTCAGGAACATGTGTAATACTATGTGTTCAGCAGGGCAGCTGGCCGACGGCTGGCTGGGTGGGTGGCTGATTGACTTTGGCTGTCTCTATCTCCATCTGTCTGTCTCTGTCTGTCTCTGTCTATCTGTCTCTGTCTATCTCTCTGTCTCTATCTCTGATGAAAAATTAGACATATGCAACATCTGGGTATCTTTATTGTAGATGTTTTGCCATCCAATGTCTTTATCAATACAAATTGAAGGACATAATTGGAAGACAGAAGAACTATATACAAAACATGAGGTTATCAGTCCCTCAGCTTTGGACAGCCCCTCTTCGAGACAGAAAGAGAGACAGGAAGACAGATGAACAGAGATAAGTCTAGATAGACAGAGACAGATAGACAGACAGACAAACAGATAGACAGACGTGTTAATGTGTAACAGTGAAAACAAATAAAGCAAAGGCAGTGCAGCATCATCAAATGTCACTCCTCTGCTGCACTGTCAGCAGTGGAGTATACCAAGCACGTCTAAAACATTGCTTGGACCTATAAATACTTTGTATATATTTCCAGACAATAGTAGGTGACCAAGGCAGGTGAAAATGTTCTGTCAGTGTGTTTGTGACTATTTGAGTACTATTTCAGTGCCTAATATTAGTGTCAGAACAAACATTGGCTATGAAATCACAAGAACTACTACAAATTGAAAGTATCAGAACATAAAATGAGAAAATAAGGAACATTGGCAACATTTCTGCAAACAGCATCTCCCCATGTTGCTGTCAGGTGAGCATCCAGCGCCAACTTTGCGGCTTTATATCTCAGTAAGTACTGACCCTAATTTTTTTTTTTTATCTTATTACACACAGAAAATTGTTATCTTTAATTTAAAAAAAAATTAAAATGTATTCAGAGCGCTGGGCAAGAGAACGTAGATCTACATTTGGATAGTTAAGGGGTTAATAGTGTCCTGTCTATCAGTGAGCTTGCAGGATTCACTTCCGTCTCCACTATCCAGTTTACTCTCTCTGACCTCCTTGCTGAAGGCTCCACCTTTGACAAAGACTCCTTGACTTTTTAACCCTTTGACTGTCGAGACCCCTGATCCTGAACTCACTCTGTCGAAAAATATTAAAAAAAAAAAATAAAAGAATTATTTTTTCTAAGCAAATCTTAAGAATATTTTTATAAGTGTTTTAAAACAAAAAATAAAATTTTTGCAATCATCACTTACTGAGATATAAAGGCGTAAAGTTGACAGAAAGTGAACCACTTACGGCAACATCCGCGACTGCTGCTCACTTGGTAATATTTTTACTTTTATTGTATTTTTTCTTTTATTTTTTAATATTTTAATTTTTCAAGTAACTTTTGTGGCCTGTGGGACCAATATAATGCATAAAGTATATATATCCAGTCATTGTATGCAGCACAGTAACCGCACAAATGTTGTTATCATTATATTGTTGACAAAACATGTTTACACAAACCCACGCTGCCTTCCCCACCACCGATGCAACCTTCCCCACCACCCACACTGCCTTCCTCACTACCCACACTGCTTTCCCCACCACCCACATGGAAATTAGTCACTTTGTCTGACTTTTCTGGGTTACCCTAGGTAATCTACACATATGCTGCTATGTTGTTTACACAAACCCACACTGCCTTCCCACCACCGATGCAGCCTTCCCCACTACCCACGCTGCCTTCCCCACCACCCACGCTGCCTTCCTCACCACCCACACTGCCTTCCTCACCACCCATGCCATCTTCCCCACCACTCACATGGAAAAAAGCCACTCTTCAAAGTCATAAGATTCATCTTCACTGACACTTCAATCTATGTTAGAACTATCACTTGGGAAGGGAAGAGTTCCAGTTCACCGGAGAGTAAGGTATTCCTTACTGCTAGGCTTGGTGATGAAGACATACTGAATTAGCACTCCCACAATGTACTGCGGCATCCCTGATTTTTTTTATACTGCACACACTAATGACACAGACCCATTTTCTCACATGTAGGCCTCCCAGCTCTCTCCCGTTAGATTTGAAGCCACTAGAATTGTGGCGTATTAATACATCACCAACACTGGCTCGTAAGACGTATCTATATGGCACCAACAGTGAAAGGGTTAATAGAAACTATTGCAGCAGCTTTTATTAAATTTTACTCCTGTACTCTCTTACCTCCACTAACCCCAACCCTTGCACATTCCTGCCCTTCCTACTCTTCACATGTTCCTGCTTCTGCTCATTCCTCCCTTCAGTAATGTATAACCCTGTTGGGTTTATCGCTTAAATTATGACTAAAATAATTTCCCAAAATATAAAAGATTGAAATATTTCATACAGTAAATTTTTTCTCTTTTGTAGGTCATCCTGGCACAAGAGGCTGGCACTAACATTGTGCTAATACTGAAGGTCATCCTGGCACCAGGGGCTAGCACTACTTATTTTGTGCTTCTGCTGCAGATCATCGAGACTCGAGAGGATATTCTACTTGCCAGTACTGCAGGTTATCTTGGCACAAGAGGCTTACATGTGTTGTGCCAATACTGAAGGTCATCTTGGCACTTAAGGCTAGCACTTGTAGTGGCATTATTATAGGTCATCCTGGCACCAAAGGTTTACACTTGTAGTGCCACCACTACAAGTTACCCTGGCACTGTTGTACTTACAGTCATAGTACCAGCACTTCAAGTCACTCTGGCACTGTCATATTTACAGTTGTAGTACTAGCACTACAAGTCACCCTAGCACTGTCATACAGTTGTAGTGCCAGCACTACAAGTCACCCTGGCACTGTCATACTTACAACTGCAATACCTATACTCAATGTCATAAAACACACGAAATGCCTCGGCATGATAGTGGCTTTCTTTGTACTTTGCAAACCAAAATTGTAATTCCACAATGTAACATTTACAAAAAAATAAAATCTTTATCTTAATACAAGTGACATAAACAGTTATATATACAGTGACATCACTGTGTACCCACAGTGATAGAAATGTCACATTTATAGTATACCTGGAGTATACCTAGTACACCATTCCTAAAATCTTGTGTTGACACTTATTCTCATCATTCAGATTTTATGTACACCATTAACACCTCTGTGATAAAAAAAATTCATAAAAATTATTACACGTTCATTGGCATTAACATAAACTGTGCTAAGGTTAATCTCTCACCTTAGAGAAAATGTGTTGAACTACCTTTAAACTCTTAGTAGAGACTAAATATGTCATGTGCATGAGTAGTGCAAATGTTGAATGTATAATTGGTATTCCTGGGAAGGGACTTTTTTTGCTATTGTCTTGTGAAGATAAATGTCTAGGTGATTTTATCATAGGAATATTATGTAGGAAACCATTGTACAGTAGCAGTGTAAGTAACAGCACTGTTAACACCTGGAGACCATTGTACAGTAGCAGTGTAAGTAACTGTACTATTATATTAACACCTGGAGACCATTGTACAGTAGCAGTGTAAGTAAAAGCACTGTTAACACCTGGAGACCACTGTACATTAGCAGGGTAAGTAACAGCACTGTTAACACCTGGAGACCACTGTACAGTAGCAGTGTAAGTAACAGCACTGTTAACACCTGGAGACCATTGTACAGTAGCAGTGTAAGTAACAGCACTGTTAACACCTGCCATCTCCACCAGGTTAGGTTGGTTCTGCGGAGAAACACATTTACTGCATTTTTATAGGCTAAATTATTTTGTATCTGTCACATTTCACTTATTTTATCCCTCTGATCTATCACACTGTCACATACCTTATTGCTCCCAGATATAATAAATTGAATCAGTCTAATTATCTTGCCATAATATTGCTCAGTCATTGTACCATAATGTGTCTGACACATGTTAAGGTAAAATCCTTCTTTGTCCACATCATAAGTCATGTGTTATAATGCAAGACCATTGTAGCAATAACTGACTGTGTAGGAATCACCAACACTGCCATAGAGAAGAAATATTTCAGTATTTTGGGACCTGAAGCTTAGTACAAATGGACTTAAGTAATATACTTGAGAGTTTAAATGAATAAAATTTATATCAACGTACTTTGTTTTGAAACTGTTGCAAAAGCTTTAGCAACAAACATTTAAGTTCATGTAAGATATTGTAGATACCTTCAAGGTCAGTGCTTAGCTGTGTTGAACAGCTCTTCACATGAGGAACCAGAGGTAGCCTTTCATATCTCAAGTCACTTCCTCCTAATACCAGACAGTGTATCTTACTCTTACTGGTGTACCGCCTTCCCTTATTTTTTTTAACGTACTGACCCTCCCACCGAGGCAGAGTGGCCTTAAAAGAAAGTTGTTCCTTTTTTCATTTAGTAATTTATCCAGATGAAAGGTTACTAGACCCTTCAGGCATTTAGTCGCCTCTTACGACAGTCATGGCTTATGGAAGAAGAATTCTTTTTCACTTCGCCACGGAGTTTATAATATTATATTAGAGAAATATTGAATGTCAGTATAAAATATTTGCCAAAATTTTGCCTAGTTAAGTGTTTATATAATTACTATGGAAGATTTTAAAATCAGTGTTCATTATGTCTAAAATACTATTAAAAGAATGTGTTCAAGAAACACAAATTATAGTTGACCCAGAAGAAAATCTATATCAGTATTCACAGTCTCTAAAACACTCTTCACAAAAATCTCTGCCTGTCTCTCTGATCAGATTTCATAAAGACAAAAAAGTGCTCGAGTGTTCAGTGTGTCAGAAGGAATTTTCCCAAAAATCTCTCTTAGAATCCCACATAAGAATTCATACTGTAGAGAAACCATATCAGTGTTCAGTGTGCTCAAAAAACTTTTCTCGAAAAGACAACTTAACAATTCACATGAAAATTCACACTGGAGACAAATCATATCAGTGTTCAGTGTGTGTAAAAGAGTTTTCCCAAAGTTCTTATTTAGTTAAGCATATGAAAATTCATACTGGAGAGAAACCATATCAGTGTTCAGTGTGTCTTAAAGACTTTTATCAAAAAGCTCACTTAATTAATCACATGAGCATTCACACTGGAGAGAAACCATATCAGTGTACAGAATGTTTGAAAGACTTTTCTCAAAAATCTGATTTAACAAGTCACATGAGAAGTCACACTGGAGAAAAACCATATCAGTGTTCAGAGTGCTTAAAAGATTTTTCTCAAAAATCTGATTTAATAAAGCACATTAGAATTCACACTGGGGAGAAACCCTATCATTGTTCTGAATGCCTGAAAGACTTCTCTCTCAAACCTGATTTAATAAAACACATGAGAAGTCATACTGGAGAGAAACCTTATCAGTGCTCAGAATGTCAACAAGGCTTTTCTCAATATTCTAATTTACTAAGACATATGAAGACTCATACTGGGGAGAAACCATACAAATGTTCAGAGTGTCTAAAAAGCTTCTCTCAAAAATATGGCTTAATAAAACATATGAGAATTCATACTAGAGAAAAACCATATCGGTGTTCAGTGTGTCTAAATGAGTTTTCCCAGAAATCTAGTCTAGTACAACATATGGCTGCTCACACTGGAGAGAAACCATATCAGTGTTCAGTGTGTCTAAAAGACTTTTCCTTAAATTCCTATTTAGCTAAACATATGAAAATTCATACTGGAGAAAAATCATATCATTGTATATTGTGTTCGAAAGACTTTTTCCAAAAAGTTCATTTAATAAATCACATGAAGACTCACACTGGAGAGAAACCATATCAGTGTTCAGTGTGTCTAAAAGACTTTTATCAAAATGCACATTTAAGTAGTCACATGAGAATTCACACTGGAGAGAAGCCATATCATTGTTCAGAGTGCCTAAAAGATTTTTCCACAAAATCTACTTTAGTACATCATATGAGAATTCATTCTGGCGATAAATCATAGCATCGTCAAGGATGACTTAACCTGTAAATGGTCCAGGCAGATCTACGTTCACATGTGTAGTGCTCCAAAAGTAGGAGGGGTGTTAATGTTGCAGTTTAAAAACTGTAGTGTAAAGCACCCTTCTGGCAAGACAGTGATGGAGTGAATGATGGTGAAAGTTTTTCTTTTTCGGGCCACCCTGCCTTGGTGGGAATCGGCCAGTGTGATAATAATAATAATAATAATAATAATAACAAAAAAAAAAAGTAGATCAATTACACATTTTCAAATGTAAAAAAAAAAAAAAGATCTACTTTTTTTTACATGCTTTCAAATGTTGAAAAAACGTGGACCCTCGACTAACGATATTAATTGGTACCCGAGAACGAATATCGTTAGTCGAGTTTTTTATCGTTAGTCGAGGCAACAAGTTAGCGTTAACATATATCGTTAGTCAAATTTAACGTTAGACGATGCCATCGTTGGTCGGGGGTCCACTGTATATACGTTTGGACCGTTTATGGGTTAATGATTTACCTCAAAAGGCTTATTGAATACAACAGTGAAAACTAATATTGGAAAGAAATATAAAAGTGTTCAGTTACCAAAGTATTCAAAATTATTTAGTATAATAGATCATCGGATAACACGAGATCTGTTAACACATTTTCTGTTGAGAAGTTTTGAAAAATTGTGGGATATTTTTGGTGTACATGCCATAAAAATGGTTTATATGATGGAGTATCTGCAAGGGAAATGTGGCAAGTGTTGCAATCTTTCCCCTCCACCTCACAGTGAGCTTCAGGACAAGTCTTATGAGCTAGTGGGTGGGAGTGGTTGAGCTAGTGGGTGGGAGTGGTTGAGCTAGTGGGTGGGAGTGGTTGAGCTAGTGGGTGGGAGTGGTTGAGCTAGTGGGTGGGAGTGGTTGAGCTAGTGGGTGGGAGTGGTTGAGCTAGTGGGTATGAGCATGCTAGTTAGTGGGTGAGAGTAGGTGAGCTAGTGTGTGGTAGCATGTGAGCTAGTGGGTTAGGACATGGTACTGAGTGAAAAAGGGTGAGTGAAGGGCAACTGTGGGAAATGGGTAATGGTTGAGGGCCAGATGTAGGGTGATGGTGTCGGTTCACAGCTATCCTGCCCTCCAACATATTGATAGGTTGAGGGCATGTAGGTGATGGGATAGGTGAAGGTGTGTGTTGGGATGGGTGAAGGTAAGTGAGGGGGTAGAATGTATGGGCAGAAGGGTGTAAAAAATGGGTTTTGGTGTTGGTCATGATGGTGAAGGCTGGAGCATCTGGCAGTGAAGCTGCAAAGTGAGGTTCAGCACTACATTCATACATGCATAATACCATTCCTTGTGCTACATTCAAACACATAAAATGTTCATACACATATAATACCATACCTTGTGCTACGTTCATACACATATAACATTCATACATGTATAATACCATACCTTGTGCTACGTTCATACACATATAACATTCATACATGTATAATACCATACCTTGTGCTATGTTCATACACATATAACATTCATACATGTATAATACTATACCTTGTGCTATGTTCATACATGTCCAGTACCATACCTCAGCCACACACCTCGCACAACAACTGCTCATTCAACCTCTCCCACCACCTCCATGGCCACACATCCTTGCTGCACACCCATCAACCTCACCTATACTGCCTACAACCCCCACCCATACCACCCACCCCTATAGTTCCCACATGGTCACATGCCTTCACTCACAGCATTCCAACCAGTAACTTCCACTCACACATCTTCCCCCCTTCCCCCCATGCTTTCACTTATACCATTCTGACCAACAATGTACCCTCACACAATCTGCCTATACAGCTTCCCCCCACTGCCACCATGACACCACCTGGTTGCTTCCAGATTCGACTCCCACATCCCACCACCACCCAGCATCCTCCACCTCCCACCAACAGCCTGCAGCTCCCACCCACACCCCTCCACCATTTGGTCTTCACCTACAACAGGGGTCCCTCACCCCCCACACTGAACCCATTTGCCCCAACCACTCTAACTCCTCTCATGTACACACCACACTCTCTAACCCCTCCTTTATATCTCCCATACAGTTGCAAAAAGTAGGAAAATCAAGAAAGTACTGTTGCAACAAGCAGGACAATCAAGAAAGTAACTCTGTACGCTATCAGTGATGTAGTTGCAGGAATTTTGGTGCATCACCACCACATTGACCTTCAATTACATTATCATCATTTTTGTGTTTTATAGTCTTGACACTTAAAAAAAGAGAAGCTTACGACGACGTTTCGGGTTATTTGTGTATCGTTCTAGTCACGGTATTGTGCCTTTTCTTTTGTTACTTAAAAAAATTTGGTTGGCTTTTTTTTGGGGGGGTATAAGGAACATAACCCTATTTATCACATGTGTTCTTGAGTTCAGCTTACACAGGTTTTTTATTACCCACTGTTTTTCAGGAACATATGTACTGTGTTATCCGATGGTGTACTGTAAATCACGTGAAAACTTGTAAGACAAGAGACATTACTTCAGTTTTCAGTATTTCTATAGGAATTTTCTCATAAGCTTTTTTTAACAAATAAACCAAAAATTTGCACTGAAGATTGACCCCTGTTAGTATTGTAGTATGTCTAAACAACTGTATTCAAAACTCTCATATATGAAATAAAATGAGAATTCAAACAGAAGAGAGACCATATCAGTGTTGAGAGTGTCTAAAACAGTTTTCAGATAAATCTAGTTTAGTACAACACATGAGAATTCATTATAGTTAAAATTCATATAGGTTTTCCATTTCTAGAAGTCTTGCATAAATCTAATTTAGTTATCCACATCAGAATTCATGTTGGAAGGAAATTATGTCAGTATACATTACAATATACAGCCTCTCCTCACTTAGCGACGTACTCGTTTACTGATGACTTGGACTTACGATGGGCTCTCTGACCAGTTTGCATACCTAAATAATATATATTAGAGCTTATTTCCTCTCTTCTGTTTATTAGAGTATACAGTACACTACTGTATAAACATTTAAAAATTTTTTTTTTTTTTTTTTTTTATTATCACACTGGCCGATTCCCACCAAGGCAGGGTGGCCCGAAAAAGAAAAACTTTCACCATCATTCACTCCATCACTGTCTTGCCAGAAGGGTGCTTTACACTACAGTTTTTAAACTGCAACATTAACACCCCTCCTTCAGAGTGCAGGCACTGTACTTCCCATCTCCAGGACTCAAGTCCGGCCTGCCGGTTTCCCTGAATCCCTTCATAAATGTTATTTTGCTCACACTCCAACAGCACATCAAGTATTAAAAACCATTTGTCTCCATTCACTCCTATCAAACACGCTCACGCATGCCTGCTGGAAGTCCAAGCCCCTCGCACACAAAACCTCCTTTACCCCTTCCTCCAACCCTTCCTAGGCCGACCCCTACCCCGCCTTCCTTCCACTACAGACTGATACACTCTTGAAGTCATTCTGTTTCGCTCCATTCTCTCTACATGTCCGAACCCCCTCAACAACCCTTCCTCAGGGCCCCCTGGACAACAGTTTTGGTAATTTCCCCCACCTCCTCCTAACTTCCAAACTACGAATTCTCTGCGTTATATTCACACCACACATTGCCCCTCAGACATGACATCTCCACTGCCTCCAGCCTTCTCCTCGCTGCAACATTCATCACCCACGCTTCACAACCCATATAAGAGCATTGGTAAAACTATACTCTCATACATTCCCCTCTTTGCCTCCAAGGACAAAGTTCTTTGTCTCCACAGACTTCTAAGTGCACCACTCACTCTTTTCCCCTCATCAATTCTATGATTCACCCTCATCTTTCATAGACCCATCCGCTGACACGTCCACTCCCAAATATCTGAATACATTCACCCTCCTAACTCTCTCCCTCCAATCGATTTTCCCAATCTTCATCACCTAATCTTTTTGTTATCCTCATAACCTTACTCTTTCCTGTATTCACCTTTAATTTTCTTCTTTTGCACACCCTCCCAAAATTCATCCACCAATCTCTGCGTTCTCTTCAATCTCCCAAGAGCACAGTGTCATCAGCAAAGAGCAGCTGTGACAACTCCCACTTTGTGTGTGATTCTTTATCTTTTAACTCCACCCCCTCTTGCCAAGACCCTCGCTTTTACTTCTCTTACAACCCCCATCTTTTAAATATATTAAACAACCACGGTGACATCAACATCCTTGTCTAAGGCCTACTTTTACTGGAAAAAATTTCCCTCTTTCCTACATACTCTAAACTTGAAGCCTCACAAATCCTCGTAAAAACTCTTCACTGCTTTCAGTAACCTACTCCTACAAACCCTACACTTGCAACATCTGCCACATTGCCCCCCCATCCACCCTGTCATACGCCTTTTCCAAAAATAAATGCCACAAAGACCTCTTTAGCCTTATCTAAATAATGTTCACTTATATGTTTCACTGTAAAACACCTGGTCCACCACCCCCCACCTTTCCTAAAGCCTCCTTGTTCATCTGCTATCCTATTCTCCGTCTTACTCTTAATTCTTTCAATTATAACTCTACCATACACTTTACCAGGTACACTCAACAGACTTATCCCCCTATAATTTTTGCACTCTCTTTTATCCTTTGCCTTTATACAAAGGAACTATGCATGCTCTCTGCCAATCCAGGTACTTACCCCCTTTTCCCTACTTTATTAAATAATTGCACCAACCACTCCAAACATAATATCCCCACCTGCTTTTAACATTTCTACTTTATCCCCTCAATCCCGGCTGCCTTACCCCCTTTCATTTACCTACTGCCTCACGAACTTCCCCACACACTCACAACTGGCTCTTCCTCACTCCTACAAGATGTTATTCCTCCTTGCCCTATACACGAAATCACAGCTTCCCTATCTTCATAACATTTAACAATTCCTCGAAATATTCCCTCCATCTTCCCCAAAACCTCTACTCTTCCATTTTTAAAAACTCTCCTCTCCTATTTTTAACTGACAAAATCCCTTTTTTCTCTAGGCTTTCTTTTAAATTGTTAATCTCACTCCAAAACTTTTTCTTATTTTCAACAAAATTTGTTGATTTAAAATCTCACCCACTCTCTCATTTGCTCTCTTTTTACATTGCTTCACCACTCTCTTAACCTCTCTCTTTTTCTCCATATACTCTTCCCTCCCTTGCATCACTTCTACTTTGAAAAAACTTC